GAGCATTCATCGGAGCCAGCATCGACTTCAAGGCCGCCCACAAACAGGTCCAAGTCCGCCCGGACGAGCACGGCCTTCTGCTTTTCGCCTTCCAAAACAAATTCTATCGGGTTTGCCATTTTGGCGGGCGTTTTTCGGCCAACTGGTGGCAACGCACTGGAGCCTTCCTGCTGCGTCAAGTCCACGGTTTGCTAGCATGGCAACCACACAAGGCTTTTCTGTTTGTGGACGACCTGCAATGCGCCTTGATCCGGGCGCAGGCGCCAGAAATGTTCGCCCTGGTTGGCCCTATTTTTCTGTGCCATAGCCGCGCCAATCTCTTGGAAAAAGGCCAAATTCCAGGATTGCCTTGTGGAAGATAAATTTTGCCCACGATACCATCCAATTCATGAAAGCAAAGCTGGTCAAGCTGGAGGATTTTATCACAACCCTCCTCGGCAAAAGAAAGGTGCCTTGCAAAACGCTGGAGCAATGCATTGGCTTGCTCATCTGGGCCAGCATAGCTTTGCATTTGCGATGCTGGATGGCGCCGCTGTACGCCGATCTTAATAGCCCTCCAGGCTCCATGCACTCCATCCAGCCACAAATATGGCCAGCCTTTCGAAAATAAATAAAGATTAAATTCCTGCAGCAGCCTGTGAATCTCTGCAGGGTCCAAAAGTTTGGAAATCGCAGGCCGCGCAGTGCACTGCCTTGAGGACATCCCGCGCATTCCAGGCACCAGCAAGCCTACGTGGGTTCGCAGAGCCGACCCAAACAACCCATTTACCACCCTTTCCAAAGCCAGCCAGGCTTGCCTGAAATGGCTGGGGTCCTGCCTTAAGCACTTCCCTACAGCCTTTAGCCCCAGTTGCAAGCCCTGGCAGCCGCAGATGCCTGCGCTAAAGAGGACTAGTGGGGATAGGTGGATGGTTCGCGGAAACTTGGGCCATGCAGGATGTCCGTCAAGTGTGGCCCAGCAGCCTTGCCAAGCCTGCGCAGCGCTATATCGCCTGCTTCAAGACGCTAGCGCAACTGGCGCTTCTTCGGCGCTACTCGTTTAGCATGCCCTCAGGCACTGACAACTCGGCAGCAGAAGCAGGCATTAACAAGATGTTCACGACATCTTGGCCTTTGCAAATTTTTTGTGCAGCTTGTTGCCTTCTGGGCGCATGCTAAAACCGTTCTTCTGCAGCCGACTCATTTGCAGGGCGCTACAATGAGTGGGCAGATGACTTGAGCAGAAATTGCCTTGAGCGCTTCGCACACCGCCCTGCGGATCGCGTGCGCTTTAGCCCTGCCAGCCTTGCACTGGCAGGTAGAGGCATCACACTGTGCCCCGCAGAAGCGCCCTGCCGCCCAGAACATCTGGCCGCAGCTGCCGGGCACTTGTAACACGTCCTTAGCGTTAAAGGTTCCGCGCACTGCTCCCAGCCTTAAATCACCAAAAACCAAGAACCCAAAAGCCGACCGCAAGGCGCACACCTTTTTTTCCCGGGTTGCTTGGGAAGGTAGCACTTTTCTAGGGCACTGCTGCACCTAGGACAAGGGGCGAGATTCCTTCAGTCCAATGCAACCCCGGAACAAAGGCAATTAAGGCCAAGGCGCAAAGTTCCCCTCTTCAGTGCGGGGTTGCACCTGCGGCAAAACGAAGCACAGGGAGAAACACTGCAAAGGCACTGCTTAAACCGCAATGCATTGGTTCCTCACCAGTTTATTTTCTTGATGCGTGGAGTTTGGTCTTAACCTCTGCAAGCGCGGCCAGGTTTTCTGGTCACGGAAGCGCGCGTGCAGGGCGCGGCTCGAGCGCACGCGGCCTGTTAGGCAATGCCATTGAAGGGCAAGGGGCATAGCGGTGAGAGGCGACTCCTGCTAGCTTTGAAACATGCAAGGCGGTTTTCTTTTTCTTGTGTTTTATAGGTCTGGGGTGAATCTTCTACGCCGCTGCCGTTTGGTGCTCCTAGCCCTCAAACTCACGTTTAGGACTCGCAGTCCTGGTTTCGATTGAAACCCACCCACCCAACCCTTCTAAGCCCTAAGCATGCTTAGGCTTCCCAAGCTTTGGAGTCCACCGGGGAAAAAGCTGGAAGCGCTCCGCGTCTTTCATAAGGGCCCAGGCCCGCGGTCTGCCTGTTTGCATCTTTGGGCCCGCTGGTCCTCTGATGCAGGCGTGGGCACGCATGCCGCGCCTTTATTTGGCACTTAAAGCAAGGACACGCATGTCTTGCAATCTGTTTCACAGGGGGGGGAATCTCTTGCCCCTTGTCTTAGGTGCACCGCAGTGCCCTAGGAAAGTGCTACCTTCCCAAGCAACCCGGTAAAAAAGGTGTGCGCCTTGCGGTCGGCTTTTGGGTTCTGGGTTTTTGGTAATTTTTGGTGATTTGAGGCTAGGAGCAGTGCGCGGGACCTTTAACTTTCATTTCGTCCATCACTCTCTCAAGTCCATGGCGCGGCAGGTTTTTAGGAGAGGCATGAATCGTGTAGGACGGTCACGGTCCAACATCAATCCTCAATCATACCAACGGTAGTAGTCCTTTTTCTTTGTAATGCAACCTCACTACGGATGATAGGTTAGGATTTGGGATCCCCCATTTTGAACAACCTAGTTTGGCAAGGATGTGTTTATAAAAGTTTCGCAAGATTTCCGTCGGACCATCGTTGGTTGTCGATGCGAAGTGTGGGTTATGTGGGATGGTCATGAAACTGTCGGCGGGGAATTCAGGAGACGATTGCAAAATCGGACGCCGATCTCGGGCTTCAGCTCACACAGTGCCAGCTGGACAGTTGAAAAAATCATCAATCACAGGGGATGAATCAAGACCTCTTTTTGCGTGTGTCCAAGGACACCCGCTCATTTATATGCTTTTGGATCTCAGGCCTGTGTTTTGCAACAAGAATGCAGGCAGAAGAACCTTTTTGTGCCCTTGAAGGTGCATGTTCACTTGCCCAGTGGAGATGGTTGTTCCATGCAGCTTCACCTGCGCTGCCCATCAGCAAACCACATTTCCGATGAGCAAGGCCGGGTTGCAAGATCGCAGCGTATGCGACTAAAAAAACGTAACGAATGTACGAATTTTGGTATCGCAATACCAAATTTAGTGTGTTTCCGTAGCGTTTGAACTTTTTTGCGCTGCATACTGCAAAGCGATTCTTGTATATTCTGGTCTTCAATACTAAAGTCGTACTTGGACCCATTTTCCCGACCTGCAGTTCCAAAGCTTCCATTTTGTGCTTTCCAGAGGGTTCATTCTGGACCGGGGCTTCCCTCTTTTCCCGCCGCGAGAACTCCAAAGTTTCTATGTGCTTTGACTGGCAGAACAAGCCCCCTTTCTCGAAACCGAAAGTTCATCCAAGAGGGTTTATTTGTAGTATGGAATGTAAAGAAGTCAAATCCTCTCCAAAAAGTAATAGACATAGGACTGGCAAGTAGTATTCTCAGGGCTCGTTTTCCCGACCGCGTGCAACTCCGAAGTTTCTATCTTTGGGCTTTCCATGAGAGGGTTCATTCTGGACTGGCAGAGCTACCCCCTTCTCGAAACCGAAATTCCTTCCAGGTCTTGTGTTTGTATGGATTTTAATCAGTTCCTTTCTGTTTTTAAAGTAATACATATAGTATTGGAAATACTAAATTTAGTACTGTCACTACTACATTCCCTATTGGACATACCAAGTTGTTTTGGCAATACTAAACTTGTTGTTGTTTGCTATGGTAGCGTTTTGTTGGCCTGTGACATTCACGGGCTATACAAAAATAAGCTGGCAATACTAAAATAGTATTCCGAGGACTCGTTTTCCTGACCATGTTGCATTTTCAATGTTTCTATCTTTGTGCTTGGTTTGCTGCTTGGTTCGCTGCTTGGTTTGGTGGCTTTTGGCTGAACTGGTTGACAATCCGCCTTGGGTTCAATGCTTACGGACCCCTTAAGCAGAACTCTTGGTAAATCTGGGTTTTGTTGTGAGCCAATAAGGTGTTGCAACTTGGATGTGGTGGTTTTCGGCATACCCGGAGAACCCTTGGGTGCTGTGTAAAAAACAAAGGCCTACACCGCCGAACGTGCCGCTGCTGATTTTGGCAGCCGGCTGAGTCGCCGCGACCTGAGAGCCTGGTGGTGTGCGTCATTTGTTGGGGACCTTGGCTTTAACGGTAAATTCGAAAGGAAGACCAGAATTCGAGGGATCCGCTTTTGACACATACTCTTATGTTGCATCCTACTCGTTTGTTCTGTGTGGAAACCCTCAAATGCACCAATGTACACTTGCGGTGATTCAGCCTTTGCAGCAAGGTTTGCACGCACCAATGAGAGGGCTGAAATGAAAACTCAAGGGGCAAAAGTTTCCAGCACCAGTTTTTTGGTTTTCTGAAACTAGGGCTCCGCTGCGTAGCTTACCGATGGGCGCAAAATTCGGGTTCCGCCCCCCGCCTAGTCCAAGTGCCTGTTTTGTTGCCTCAATGTGGCTGTTTTGATGCGGCAAAATCGAATCGATATTGCTTGACTTGGCACTGGTGGGCACGTGCAACAAGAAGTCCCCATCAGTCACCTATGGTTTACCGTGCAATGAAAACCTTCTACCAACGGTAAATAAACTAAAGTTGAGTCAAGTATGGTATCCCTGGGCGCGCCGGCCGAGGCAATCTCACCTCCTTTGAGTTCATGCACACTCACGCCCCGCTTTCTTCGGACTGGATTCTGGTGGCTACATGTTTGATGAGTCGCCTGCGCTGACCGTTCTCGCTGAAAACGACTGCGATGAATATGAGGATGGCCAGAAGCAATTTCTCGCTCAGTTTGTGGCTGCCAAACCTCGTTGTGGTGGCCTCCCGAACACCAAAGCGAACTTCGATTGTGGAAGCTTCGCGAGACAATGTCATCTCTGCAGATCCAATGCGAGTTGCCTTTGGCCAGACTGGGCGCGTCTCTGCGCAGCTCCAACGCTAAGGTTGAAGCACAAGGACTGACCTCACCAAGCGGGTCCACGGTGACTTCTCCTGAGTAGGTGTACCTTCCAGTCTCCCCACACCCATGCTGGCATTGAATTTTAGTGCGGACACGCAGCTCGCGCAGGCCGTCAAGCATGGTACGCAAAGACTCCCTTGCAGCTGGTCTTTTCAGGAGGCTTTACTTTTCAGAACTCCAGCCTTCCCGGGGCCCTGTTGCACTGACTCAAAGTCAAACTCCTCGCTGAGGGGCAAGGTGTCGTTGGGCAAGGTGTGTGATTCGGGCCACTGCACCGAACTCGCAGACGGCCGGATTTTGAAGACGTATTGTCAGCGCTGGACCGCGCAGTTTGCTTGCCTGAGTCGGCACGGCTGTGACCTGAGCATTTAGTGACCAGCAATCACGGCGCGCAACTGCTGGCTGCAGCGCTGTGGGTAGCTTGCAAGGCCCCAGTCCATAGCCCGTCGACCGTGATATCAGGTAGGCAGGAGCTCACCCATGCTGTGACATGAGGTCAGCTCCGCCCTATGCTGGATGTGACATGAGGTCAGCTCCGCCCTATGTCGCTTTTTCCCAGATACTGTGCATGTTGTTTGGGGCAAGGCCATTGACAGTCTGATTTCGTGATGCCCCAATCGCCTGTCAAGCTTGTTGGCGAGGCATTTCAATCAATCAAAGCTTTGTAGCTGCCGACTGCGACAGTGCTTAGAGCAAATTTTGTGAACCAGAATGGAGGGGCACCAAGAGGGTACGCGCCAAAAACAGCTAGAGCTGTCACTTTGCCGTCGCCTTTGGCTTTGTGCGACGCCGGTTCGTCCGTTCAAAAGCCAAAGCAAATACAAAGCAGCAGCCTACCTACTTTGCCTTCGCCTTTGGCTGATGCGACGCTGATTGAAGTCGATATTAGAGCCAAAACAAGAAACAACAGCCGCCCCACAACACTGCGGCCCGCTGGTCCAAGCAATCTCAACCTCTTTCGAGTTCATGCACACTCACGCCCCGCTTTCTTCGGACTCGATTCTGGTGGCTACATGTTTGATGAGTCGCTTGGGCTGACCGTTCTCGCTGAACACGACTGCGATGAATATGAGGATGGCCAGAAGCAATTTCTCGCTCAGTTTGTGGCTGCCAAACCTCGTTGCGGTGGCCTCCCGAACACCAAAGCGAACTTTGATTGTGGAAAGAGTCGGGTAACAACCCCGCTTCTTGCAAGACAATCACGGATCCTGGAAGGGACAAAACCAAAGCAACCTTTCAGCTCGACAGATGACATTTCAGGCAAAGCCACAAGGTCAAAGTCAAAGCTGCTCGCTGCTAGGGCAGAAGATCGGATGTTGCAGGCTTGTTTGTCAACGCTGGATCATGCTTAATCCATGTGAGTCCGCGTCAAAGCTCACCTCTACCAGCCGTTTGGGCTTGTCGTGCACAGCTGCAAATAGGCTTTGACAGCTCCCATCATGCTGAGTCCCGGAAGCCCTTTGGTCATTCGCGGATAGGCAGTGCAGTCAAGGTCCTAGCTTGACCCGCCATGTGCGACGTTTCCTGCAAGAGACGTGAAAAGACAAAGTGGCCTTGGATTAGTCCTCGCGCGCGGGCACGAAGCCTGACGCAGACAAGTCCCTCGTGAGGTTTCGTTTCAGCGCATCTTGTTTTCCTCCGGTTTGGATCCCAAGTCTAGTCTAGAACGCTCTTGAGACCCGGAAGAGACTGGTTGATCCTGCCAGTAGGCACACGCTTGTCCGCAGAATTCATCTTCGGAATTCGTCTTCGGGGAGGAATTTGTGTGTTCGGGGAGGAATTCGTCTTCGGAATCTCTTTGTGGCTTACAACCTCGCTTCTTGTAAGACAATTACTGGTCCGGGAAGGGACAAAACCCAAGCAACCTTTCAGCTTGACCGTCGACATCTTAGGCAAAGCCACAAGGTCAAAGTCAACACTGCTCGCTGCGGGGCAGACGATCGGGTAGTGCAGACTTGTTGGTCAACGCTGGATCATGCTGAGCCCATGTGAGTCCGCGTCAAAGCTCACCTCTACCAACCGTTTGGGCTTGTCGTGCACAGCTGCAAATAGGCTTTGACCGCTCCCATGATGCTGAGACCGGTGTCAAGATCCTAGCTTGACCCGCCATGTGCGACGTTTCCTGCAAGAGACGTGAAAAGACAAAGTGGCCTTGGATTAGTCGGGTTACAACCCCGCTTCTTGTAAGACAAATACTGGTCCGGGAAGGGACAAAACCCAAGCAAGCTTTCAGCTCGACAGTTGACATTTTAGGCAACGCCAAAAGGTCAAGGTCAAAGCTGCTCGCGGCCAGGCAGGAGATCCGATAGTGGACATGTACAAGCTTTTGCGCCTGGCTGCAAATAGGCTTTGACCGCTCCCATGATGCTGAGACCGGTGTCAAGATCCTAGCTTGACCCGCCATGTGCGACGTTTCCTGCAAGAGACGTGAAAAGACAAAGTGGCCTTGGATTAGTCGGGTTACAACTCCGCTTCTTGTAAGACAATTGCTGGTCCGGGAAGGGACAAAACCCAAGCAAGCTTTCAGCTCGACAGTTGACATTTTAGGCAACGCCAAAAGGTCAAGGTCAAAGCTGCTCGCGGCCAGGCAGGAGATCCGATAGTGGACATGTACAAGCTTTTGCGCCTGGCTGCAATAGGCTTTGACCGCTCCCATGATGCTGAGTCCCAGAACCCCTTTGGTCATTCGCGGATAGGCAGTGATGCCAAGATCCTAGCTTGACCTGCAATGTGCGACGTTTCCCTGAAAAAACCTGAAAAGAGCAAGTGGCCTTGGGTGAGTCGGGTTACAACCCCGTTTCTTGCAAGACAATCACGGATCCTGGAAGGGACAAAACCAAAGCAATCTTTCAGCTTGACAGATGACATTTTAGGCAAAGCCACAAGGTCCAAGTCAAAGCTGCTCGCTGCTGGGCAGACGATTGGGTAGTGCAGACTTGTTCGTCACTGGCTGCAAATAGGCTTTGACCACTCCCATGATGCTGAGACCGGTAGCCCTTTGGTCATTCGCGGATAGGCAGTGATGTCAAGATCCTTGCTTGACCTGCAATGTGCGACGTTTCCCTGAAAAGACCTGTAAAGAGCAAGTGCAACCCCTTTTTTTGCAAGACAATCACGGGTCCTGAAAGGGACAAAACCAAAGCAATCTTTCAGCTTGACAGATGACATTTTAGGCAAAGCCACAAGCTCCAAGTCAATGCTGGGCAGACGATCGGGTAGTGCAGACTTGTTTGTCAACGCTGGATCATGCTTAATCCATGTGAGTCCGCGTCAAAGCTCATCTCACCAACCTTTTGGTCTTGCTCCGCACAGCTTCAGACTGCAAAATTTTGCACCTGGCTGCAATAGGCTTTGTCCGCTCCCATGATGCTGAGTCCCGGAACCCCTTTGGTCATTCGCGGATAGGCAGTGGTGTCAAGATCCTGGCTTGACCTGCAATGTGCGACGTTTCCCTGAAAAGACCTGAAAAGAGCAAGCGCAACCCCTTTTTTTGCAAGACAATCACGGGTCCTGGAAGGGACAAAACCAAAGCAATCTTTCAGCTTGACAGATGACATTTTAGGCAAAGCCACAAGCTCCAAGTCAAAGCTGCTCGCTGCTGGGCAGACGATCGGGTAGTGCAGACTTGTTTGTCAACTCTGGATCATGCTTAATCCATGTGAGTCCGCGTCAAAGCTCATCTCACCAACCTTTTGGTCTTGCCCCGCACAGCTTCAGACTGCAAAAAATTGCACCTGGCTGCAATAGGCTTTGACCGCTCCCATGATGCTGAGTCCCGGAACCCCTTTGGTCATTCGCGGATAGGCAGTGATGTCAAGATCCTAGCTTGACCTGCAATGTGCGACGTTTCCCTGAAAAGACCTGAAAAGAGCAAGTGCAACCCCGTTTCTTGCAAGACAATCACGGGTCCTGGAAGGGACAAAACCAAAGCAATCTTTCAGCTCGACAGTTGACATTTTAGGCAACGCCAAAAGGTCAAGGTCAAAGCTGTTCGCGGCCAGGCAGGAGATCCGATAGTGGACATGTACAAGCTTTTGCGCCTGGCTGCAAATAGGCTTTGACCGCTCCCATGATGCTGAGACCGGTGTCAAGATCCTAGCTTGACCCGCCATGTGCGACGTTTCCTGCAAGAGACGTGAAAAGACAAAGTGGCCTTGGATTAGTCGGGTTACAACCCCGCTTCTTGTAAGACAAATACTGGTCCGGGAAGGGACAAAACCCAAGCAAGCTTTCAGCTCGACAGTTGACATTTGAGGCAAAGCCACAAGGTCAAGGTCAAAGCTGCTCGCTGCGGGGCATACCGACGGGCTAAAGCAGTATAAGCTTCCAAAGAATGTGCAATGCAAGTTGCAGCAACTTGTTGAATCCAGGCCCAAAGTCCAAAGGCAGCCTCCGGGAACCGTGCTTGGAGCCGCATGGGAAGGCCAAGACACTGCAACGCAGTCCGGCAAGCTTGGCAGGTGAAGCATTCCACATGAGGTTGTGAGTTGGGACCTTTCCTCTCTTAGTGGCCTTCTGGTTCAAAGCCGACGCTTGTTTTGCGGAATCTTCCTGGATCGTTCCGGTGGCGCCAGACTGGACTTTCCGCTGGCCTGTATGGGCACTGACCGTGTTTCCTCTCAATTGGCGCAGTTTCTTTCCAGCCACGGCAGCTGGCAAGTTGACGCCATTTCGATGTTGAAGGGCCCTTCCACCATGGTAGTTGCTTCATTCATCACTCGATTTGCCATGATGCTGACCAAATGGCAGGTCTTGGCTTTTTGGCAGAGGGGCAGCGATGTCAAAGTCCCAGCTTGACCTGCAAAGAGGGAGGTTTCAGGAACAGCAGTGAACCGAGGAAGTGGCCTTTGATTAGTCGGGTTGCAACCCGAATGTGCAATGCAAGTTGCAGCAACTTGTTGAATCCAGGCCCAAAGTCCACAGGCAGCCTATTTCCTGCGGTGTACTAAGAATAGCCGGGAACCGTGCTTGGAGCCGCATGGGAAGCCCAAGAGGCTGCAACGCAGTCCGGCAAGCTTGGCAGGTGAAGCATTCCACCTGAGGTTGTGAGCTGGGACCTTTCCTCTCTTGGTGGCCTTCTGGTTCAAAGCCGACGCTTGTTTTGCGGAATCTTCCTGGATTGTTCCGGTGGCGCCAGACTGGACTTTCCGCTGGCCTGTATGGGAAGTCACCATTTTTCCGCTTAATTGTCGCAGTTTCTTTCCAGCCACGGCAGCTGGCAAGTTGACGCCATTTCGATGTTGAAGGGCCCTTCCACCATGGTAGTTGCTTCATGCATCACTCAATTTGCCATGATGCTGACCAAATGGCAGGTCTTGGCTTTTTGGCAGAGGGGCAGCGATGTCAAAGTCCCAGCTTGACCTGCAATGTGCGACGTTTCTCGGAAGAGATGTGAACACAGGAAGTGCGCTTTTCAACACCCTCTCTTGGTGGCCTTCTGGTTCAAAGCCGACGCTGGTTTTGCAGAATCTTCCTGGATCATTCAGGTGGCGCTAGACTGGACCTTCCGCTGGCCTGTATGGGCACTGACCGTGTTTCCTCTCAATTGGCGCAGTTTCTTTCCAGCCACGGCAGCTGGCAAGTTGACCATTTCGATGTTGAAGGGCCCTTCCACCATGGTAGTTGCTTCATGCATCACTCGATTTGCCATGATGCTGACCAAATGGCAGGTCTTGGCTTTTTGGCAGAGGGGCAGTGATGTCAAGGTCCCAGCTTGAGCTGCAGTGTGCGACGTTTCCCGGAAGAGACGTGAACACAGGAAGTGCGCTTTTCAACACCCTCTCTTGGTGGCCTTCTGGTTCAAAGCCGACCTGCAATGTGTGGCCTTTGGTTAGTCGGGTTACAGCCCCGCTTCTTGCGAAACAATCACTGGTCCGGGAAGGGACAAAACCACAGCAAGCTTTCAGCTTGATAGTCGACATTTCAGGCAAAGCCACAAGGTCAAAGTCAGAGCTGCTCGCTGCGGGGCAGACCGACGGGCTAAAGCAGTACAAGCTTCCAAAGAATGTGCAATGCAAGTTGCAGCAACTTGTTGAATCCAGGCCCAAAGTCCAAAGGCAGCCTCCGGGAACCGTGCTTGGAGCCGCATGGGAAGGCCAAGAGGCTGCAACGCAGTCCGGCAAGCTTGGCAGGTGAAGCATTCCACATGAGGTTGTGAGTTGGGACCTTTCCTCTCTTAGTGGCCTTCTGGTTCAAAGCCGACGCTTGTTTTGCGGAATCTTCCTGGATTGTTCCGGTGGCGCCAGACTGGACTTTCCGCTGGCCTGTATGGGAAGTCACCATTTTTCCGCTTAAGTGGCGCAGTTTCTTTCCAGCCACGGCAGCTGGCAAGTTGACGCCATTTCGATGTTGAAGGGCCCTTCCACCATGGTAGTTGCTTCATGCATCACTCGATTTGCCATGATGCTGACCAAATGGCAGGTCTTGGCTTTTTGGCAGAGGGGCAGCGATGTCAAAGTCCCAGCTTGACCTGCAATGTGCGACGTTTCTCGGAAGAGATGTGAACACAGGAAGTGCGCTTTTCAACACCCTCTCTTGGTGGCCTTCTGGTTCAAAGCCGACGCTGGTTTTGCGGAATCTTCCTGGATCATTCAGGTGGCGCTAGACTGGACCTTCCGCTGGCCTGTATGGGCACTGACCGTGTTTCCTCTCAATTGGCGCAGTTTCTTTCCAGCCACGTCAGCTGGCAAGTTGACCATTTCGATGTTGAAGGGCCCTTCCACCATGGTAGTTGCTTCATGCATCACTCGATTTGCCATGATGCTGACCAAATGGCAGGTCTTGGCTTTTTGGCAGAGGGTCAGTGATGTCAAGGTCCCAGCTTGAGCTGCAGTGTGCGACGTTTCCCGGAAGAGACGTGAACACAGGAAGTGCGCTTTTCAACACCCTCTCTTGGTGGCCTTCTGGTTCAAAGCCGACCTGCAATGTGTGGCCTGTGGTTAGTCGGGTTACAGCCCCGCTTCTTGCGAGACAATCACTGGTCCGGGAAGGGACAAAACCAAAGCAATCTTTCAGCTTGATAGTCGACATTTCAGGCAAAGCCACAAGGTCAAGGTCAAAGCTGCTCGCTGCAGGGAAGAAGATGGGATAGTGCAGACTTGTTTGTCCACGCTGGATCATGCTTAACCCATGTCAGTCCGCGTCAAAGCTCATCTCTACCAACCGTTTGGGCTTTTCCTGCACAGCTTCAGACCGACGGGCTAAAGCAGTACAAGCTTTTGCGCCCGGCTGACCAACGGCAAGTCTTTGGTCACCGTTGATGTCAAGGTCGCAGCTTGACTTGCAATGTGTCGACGTTTCCTGGAGGAGACGTGAAACGAGGAAGCCTTTGGTCAGTTGGGCTACAACGAGTCAAAGCTCACCTCTGCCAACCGGTTGGGCTTTTCCTGCACAGCTTCAGACCGACGGGCTAAGGCAGTTCAAGCTTTTGTGCCCGGCTGCCAAAAGGGTGTGACCGCTTCCATGATGCTGACCAACGGCAAGTCTTTGGTCACCGTTGATGTCAAGGTCGCAGCTTGACTTGCAATGTGTCGACGTTTCCTGGAGGAGACGTGAAACGAGGAAGCCTTTGGTCAGTTGGGCTACAACGAGTCAAAGCTCACCTCTGCCAACCGGTTGGGCTTTTCCTGCACAGCTTCAGACCGACGGGCTAAGGCAGTTCAAGCTTTTGTGCCCGGCTGCCAAAAGGGTGTGACCGCTTCCATGATGCTGACCAACGGCAAGTCTTTGGTCACCGTTGATGTCAAGGTCGCAGCTTGACTTGCAATGTGTCGACGTTTCCTGGAGGAGCGTGAAACGAGGAAGCTTTTGGTCAGTTGGGCTACAACGAGTCCTGGAAGGGACAAAACCAAAGCAAGCTTTCAGCTCGACAGATGACATTTCAGGCAAAGCCACAAAGCTGCTCGCTGCTAGGGCAGAAGATCGGATGTTGCAGGCTTGTTTGTCAACGCTGGATCATGCTTAGCCCATGTGAGTCCGCTCTACCGACCGTTTGGGCTTGTCGTGCACAGCTGCAGACCGACGGGCTAAAGCAGTACAAGCTTTTGTGCCCGGCTGCCAAAAGGGTGTGACCGCTTCCATGATGCTGACCAACGGCAAGTCTTTGGTCACCGTTGATGTCAAGGTCGCAGCTTGACTTGCAATGTGTCGACGTTTCCTGGAGGAGCGTGAAACGAGGAAGCCTTTGGTCAGTTGGGCTACAACGAGTCCTGGAAGGGACAAAACCAAAGCAAGCTTTCAGCTCGAGAGATGACATGTCAGGCAAAGCCACAAGGTCAAAGTCAAAGCTGCTCGCTGCTAGGGCAGAAGATCGGATGTTGCAGGCTTGTTTGTCAACGCTGGATCATGCTTAGCCCATGTGAGTCCGCTCTACCGACCGTTTGGGCTTGTCGTGCACAGCTGCAGACCGACGGGCTAAAGCAGTACAAGCTTTTGCCTGGTTGCCAAAAGGGTGTGACCGCTTCCATGATGCTAAGTCCTGGTCGGTCTTTGGTCCTTTGCAGAGAGGCAGGGATGGCAAGAAGGTCCCAGCTGGTTCTGCAATGTGCGACATTGCTTGTTTGACGGTATTGGCCTTTGGTTATTCGCAGAGAGGCAGTGGTGTCAAGGTTCCGACCTGACTGCCTGTGAGAAGGTTGTCAAAAGCTTTTGTGCCAACATCAGCTTGTTTTGCACAATGCCCTCAGCAACAGTTCCAAATGCGTGCCTGTGCGTGGCAGACAACAAGCCGGCAGATCCAAGAGCTTGTTCAGTCCTGACTTGGTTACTGCAACTGACTGTGCAAGACCAGGATGACTCAACTTTCTGAACTCGTAGCTCCCAACGACAAGAGCAGCGAGGTCAGCTCGGGGGCGGCAAAACCGACCGAGCTGTGAGCCGTGCACGTGTGGCCCATGTGGCCTTCCGCTAATGTGGATGTGGCAGATTGGGTCGCCAGTTGCTCGTGGCTCGTTGGCCTGCGCAGATGCGGCGTTGAGCGACGCCAGATTTGCGAGCGTGGCCCGGCCAGGCATTGCCAGATCTCAGAATCGTGTGTTGCCTTTCCGCGGCATGGCGCAACAGATCCGGGCGCAAGTTTCATCCCATGGCAGCTGGACAGTTTGGGCAGGATTTGCGAGAAGGGGGCGTCCACCAGCCTGTGTCACCGATGCAAGCAGCGTCTACTCAAAGGAGTTTAGGACTTGGCCTTGAGGCAAGCGGTGTGGGATCTGGGGCCCCATATCGAGGCTGCTTATCGATCGTCAGCGCCTATTGTCAAAACGGCGCATCTGAGTTCTTTTGGGAACCACCCTCTTTCCAACAATCATGAAGTAGATAAGGGCTTCCCCAACAGGAAAGTAGTCTTGCAAAATCCTAGTATCAGCTTCCATGATTGTTGGAGGAAGGGTACTTACTGGTTGCTTCGTCGATGGCTAGATTTGGGCAGCAAATTTGGTCACGTTTTGCGTGGTCGGGGCAAAGTATCGCTTTGATTATGTACTCAAGCTGCAGAAAGGGCCTCTAACACTTTCATTGTAAGCAATGTTTGCCTTGCACGGGACTCCTAAGATGCTGCCGCAAACAGCCTTTGATGTGTGACGGGGACTTAGAATTCCGGGTGGCCTGCGCACGGCATGAGTGATTTGCTTTTGCGGGGAATCGAGAAGTGTAACAGCTGAATGACATGACGTAGCCTCTGCGGATGAAGGATTGGAGACAAACGGCATTGAAAGGGTTATGACCCCGAGCGCTCCTCTCTCTCTCTCTCTCTCTCTCTCTCTCTCTCTCTCTCTCTCTCTCTCTCTCTCTCTCTCTCTCTCTCTCTCTCTCTTTCTCTCGCTCTATCTCTCTCTCTCTCTCTCTCTCTCTCTTTTTCTCTCGCTGTTTTTTTCTTCTCTCTCTCTCTCTCTTTTATCTCTTGCTCTCTCTTTTTGTTCTCTCTCTCTCTCTCTTTTTTAGCTCTCTCTCCCTCTCTCTCTTTTTATCTTTTTCTTTTTTTCTCTTTTTTTTCTCTTTTTCGCTTTTTCGTTCTTCCTTTTTTTCTTTCTTCCTTTCTTCCTTTCTTCCTTTCTTCCTTTCTTCCTTTCTTCCTTTCTTCCTTTCTTCCTTTCTTCCTTTCTTCCTTTCTTCCTTTCTTCCTTTCTTCCTTTCTTGCTTTCTTCCTTTCTTCCTTTCTTCCTTCCTGCCTTCCTGCCTTCCTGCCTTCCTGCCTTCCTGCCTTCCTGCCTTCCTGCCTTCCTGCCTTCCTGCCTTCCTGCCTTCCTGCCTTCCTTCCTTCCTTCCTTCCTTCCTTCCTTCCTTCCTTCCTTCCTTCCTTCCTTCCTTCCTTCCTTCCTTCCTTCCTTCCTTCCTTCCTTCCTTCCTTTCTTCTTTACTTCCTTCCTTCCTTCCTTCCTGCCTGCCTGCCTGCCTGCCTTCCTTCCTTCCTTCCTTCCTTCCTTCCTTCCTTCCTTTCTTTCTTTTTTGCTTTCTGTCTCTGTCTCTCTCTTTCTTTCTCTTTCTCTTTCTCTTTCTCTTTCTCTTTCTCTTTCTCTTTCTCTTTCTTTTTCTCTTTCTCTTTCTCTTTCTCTGTCTCTTTCTCTTTCTCTTTCTCTTTCTCTTTCTCTTCTTCTTTATCTTTGAGCCTCCTTCGAGACAACCCCCCGACTTCACCAGCAACCAAATTTTGATCGCGTGCAAAGGAAACTTCAAGTCATTCCGGCCCGAAGGAGAGGCAGCGTGGTCCTGGCCACCCACACCGCGGGCGCAGTGAGCGTGGACGGCTACACTCTGACCCTGGCAGTGAACCCGTGGAACATCGTGCGCACCTACAACTTGACCCCCGGCCGGGAGCTCCTCTTCGCCTGCCGGTACCGGCTCGGCACGGCCTCCAACTTCGTGGTGTACATGTCCGAGGCCGACAACGTCTACGACCCCCTGTACGGCAGCTTCGCGGGAGACGAGGGCGCCTGGAGCACGGCCAAGATGTACTTCACCGTGCCGCCAAACGGTTGCGAAGCTGCACTTTGGGGCGCACTTCCAGGCGCCGGGCCTGCCCAACCAGACGGCAGGAACGGTGGACGTCTACGGCCTCCAGATCCTGGACGCAACCCTGGAGAGGCCGGCAACACAGCGGAGGAGGACGGCGGCCTCGGCCCTGCTGCTGAAGCACGAGTTCCTCGACGGAGGGGCCGACGACGTCACGCTGGCCACCCTGGGCGAGGTGCTGCTGGAGCCCACGCTCACCACGTTAGGCAATTTTCTGGTGCGCTCCAACAGCCAGAGCTCCGTGGCCTCGGCCAGCTTCACGGTGGGAGGCTTCCAGCTGGAGGGCTACGCCATAACCCTGAGCGCCTTCGCCTGGAACATTGTGCGCACCTACACACTGACGCCGGGGAGACGCTACTCCTTCGGCTGCCGGTGCCGGCTGGGCACGGCCTCCAACTTGGTGATGTACGTCAGCGCCGCCGACAACGACTACGTGGGCGTCACCGGCACCTTCCTCGGCACGGCCGGGCAGGGAGTCTGGAGCACGGCGCGCCTGGACTTCTCGGTGCCGCCGGGCGGAGTCGCAAAGCTGCACTTCGGAGCCTTCGGTGGCTCGATCTCCGGGCTGGTGCAGCAGTCGGCGGGCACGCTGGACCTGTACAGCCTGCAGATCAGGGCCAGCGCCTTCGAGGGAGAGTCGGTCTCCGTGACGGACCTGCTGGCCGACTCGCTGGCCCTCACGGGCTCGGCCACGCTCGACGGGCTCACCGCGCAGGGCAACGCGGGCTGCGACCAGCTGCTGTGCAACGATGTGAACTGCACCGATGTGTTCACGACGGGCGTGGACGCCTCGGGCGTGTGCCTCTTCTCTCTCATCGACA